TGTCTGTAGAATGTCTGTAGAATGTCTGTAGAATGTCTGTAGAATGCCTGTAGAATGTCTGTAGAATGTCTGTAGAATGTCTGTAGAATGTCTGTAGAATGTCTGTAGAATGCTTGTAGAATGTCTGTAGAATGCCTGTAGAATGTCTGTAGAATGTCCGTAGAATGTCTGTAGAATGTCTGTAGAATGTCTGTAGAATGTCTGTAGAATGCCAGTAGAATGTTTGCAGAATGTCTGTAGAATGTCTGTAGAATGTCTGTAGAATGCCTGTAGAATGTCTGTAGAATGCCTGTAGAATGTCTGTAGAATGTCTGTAGAATGCCTGTAGAATGTCTGTAGAATGTCTGTAGAATGACTGTAGAATGTCTGTAGAATGCCTTTAGAATGTCTGTAGAATGTCTGTAGAATGTCTGTAGAATGTCTGTAGAATGTCTGTAAAATGCCTGTAGAATGTCTGTAGAATGTCTGTAAAATGCCTGTAGAATGTCTGTAGAATGTCTGTAGAATGTCTGTACAATGTCTGTAGAACGTTTGTAGAATGTCTATAGAATGCCCTCACACAACCTACATTTGCAGCCAACTTGTGGTTGCGTTATGCTCCACAGGTCTGCACTGAACGTTCTACTAAAATTCTCATTTAAATCATGTTTTGAAAAAGAGTACTTGAACTTAACATGACCGTCATGGACACACACAGAACTTAACATGATCGTCATGGACACACTGCAAACAGATCTTAACATGACCGTCACGGACACACTGCAAACAGAACTTAACATGACCGTCATGGACACACACAGAACTTAACATGACCGTCATGGACACACTGCAAACAGAACTTAACATGACCGTCATGGACATACTGCAAACAGAACTTAACATGACCGTCATGGACACACTCCAAACAGAACTTAAGATGACCGTCATGAACACACTGCAAAGAGAACTTAACATGACCGTCAGGGACACACTGCAGAAATTTAGGTTATCACAGAAAATCCGTTTCTTATTATACGGTAAAAACAGAAACCTTAGAATTTTGTACTCTAGTAATATTTCATCGAAATTGGACGAAAAGTATTTTTTAACGAGTTTGCAAAGTCTTGTGGAAAGTTAATCTGGAGATGCTGTGACGCATGTATTTATTTATTAAATATCATATGTACTCAAGTATAGGTCAAGTTGGTGAATAGGTCGATCCCTGACGTCTATCTTAGTTAAAAAAAAAAATCATCAGTTTTCATTTATGTTGTAGTTAATGCTACCTTGAAGGAACGGTAGAACACCTCTTAGGAATTAAGAAATGTTCCTGGTATTTTTCTTGGAGCACTTTACATTAATAGGTTCAGAATGCGTAGGCTGTAAATGGGATATGCATATAGGCATACCCTGTATCTGAACATAATGTTTAACATATTAAAAAGTGTCATCCAGTCTAATATTTTTCCCCTATCAAATTTTAATCCGATATTCGACTGTATGCAACCACGACTGACATTATATCCCAGCTGTTTACAATGATAATTAAAAAACAAACCAAGTTCATAGGGTTTAAAGAGCGTATTTGTGACCTAGCAGCACTGTGTGACCTAGCAGCACTGTGTGACCTAGCAGCACTGTGTGACCTAGCAGCACTGTGTGACTAGCAGCACTGTGTGACCTAGCAGCACTGTGTGACCTAGCAGCACTGTGTGACCTAGCAGCACTGTGTGACCTAGCAGCACTGTGTGACCTAGCAGCACTGTGTGACTTAGCAGCACTGTGTGACCTAGCAGCACTGTGTGACCTAGCAGCACTGTGTGACCTAGCAGCACTGTGTGACCTAGCAGCACTGTGTGGACCTAGCAGCACTGTGACTAGCAGCACTGTGTGACCTAGCAGCACCTGTGTGACCTAGCAGCACGTGTGACCTAGCAGCACTGTTAGCAGCACTGGTAGGTGGACCTAGCAGCACTGTGTGACCTAGCAGCACTGTGTGACCTAGCAGCACTGTGTGACCTAGCAGCACTGTGTGACCTAGCAGCACTGTGACCTAGCAGCACTGTGTGACCTAGCAGCACTGTGTGACCTAGCAGCACTGTGTGACTTAGCAGCACTGTGTGACCTAGCAGCACTGTGTGACTTAGCAGCACTGTGTGACCTAGCAGCACTGTGTGACCTAGCAGCACTGTGTGTGACCTAGCAGCACTGTGTGACCTAGAGCACTGTGTGACCTTAGCAGCACTGTGTGACCTAGCAGCACTGTGTGACCTAGCAGCACTGTGTGACCTAGCAGCACTGTGTGACTCAGCAGCACTGTGTGACCTAGCACACGTGACTAGCAGCATGTGTGACCTAGCAGCACTGTGTGACCTAGCAGCACTGTGTGACCTAGCAGCACTGTGTGACCTAGCAGCACTGTGTGACCTAGCAGCACTGTGACCTAGCAGCACTGTGTGACCTAGCAGCACTGTGTGACCTAGCAGCACTGTGTGACCTAGCAGCACTGTGTGACCTAGCAGCACTGTGTGACCTAGCAGCACTGTGTGACCTAGCAGCACTGTGTGACCTAGCAGCACTGTGTGACCTAGCAGCACTGTGTGACCTAGCAGCACTGTGTGACCTAGCAGCACTGTGTGACCTAGAAGCACTGTGACCTAGCAGCACTGTGTGACCTAGCAGCACTGTGTGACCTAGCAGCACTTGTGACCTAGAACACTGTGTGACTAGCAGCACTCGTGTGACCTAGACAGCACTGTGGACCTAGCACCACTGTGTCGACCTATGCAGCACTTGTGACCTAGCAACTACTGGGTGGACACTCAGCTGGAGTAACACTAGCTGGAGTGCTAGCACACTAGTGGAGTGCTAGCACACTACTGGACTAGCAGCACACTCAGCTGGAGTGCTAGCACACTCAGCTGGACCTAGCAGCACTAGCTGGAGTGCTAACTCAACTGGAGTACTAGCACACTCAGCTGGAGTGCTAGCACACTCAGCTGGAGTGCTAGCACACTCAACTGGATAGTCAGCACACTCAGCTGGAGTGCTAGCACACTCAGCTGGAGCGCTAGCACACTTAGCTGGAGTGCTAGCACACTCAGCTGGAGGGCTAACACACTTAGCTGGAGTGCTAGCACACTTAGTTGGAGTGCTAGCACACTTAGCTGGAGTGCTAGCACACTCAGCTGGAGTGCTAGCACACTCAGCTGGAGAGCTAGCACACTCAGCTGGAGTGCTAGCACACTCAGCTGGAGTGCTAGCACACTCAGCTGGAGTGCTAGCACACTCAGCTGGAGTGCTAGCACACTTTAGCTGGAGTGCTAGCACACTCAGCTGGAGTGCTAGCACACTCAGCTGGAGTGCATAGCGAGCGACACTCAGCTGGAGTGCTAGCACACTCAGCTGGAGTGCTAGCACACTCAGCTGGAGTGTTAGCACACTCAGCTGGAGTGCTAGCACACTCAGCTGGAGTGCTAGCACACTCAGCTGGAGTGCTAGCACACTCAGCTGGAGTGCTAGCACACTCAGCTGGAGTGTTAGCACACTCAGCTGGAGTGCTAGCACACTCAGCTGGAGTGCTAGCACACTCAGCTGGAGTGCTAGCACACTCAGCTGGAGTGCTAGCACACTCAGCTGGAGTGCTAGCACACTCAGCTGGAGTGCTAGCACACTCAGCTGGAGTGCTAGCACACTCAGCTGGAGTGCTAGCACACTCAGCTGGAGTGCTAGCACACTCAGCTGGAGTGCTAGCACACTCAGCTGGAGTGCTAGCACACTCAGCTGGAGTGCTAGCACACTCAGCTGGAGTGCTAGCACACTCAGCTGGAGTGCTAGCACACTCAGCTGGAGTGTTAGCACACTCAGCTGGAGTGCTAGCACACTCAGCTGGAGTGCTAGCACACTCAGCTGGAGTGCTAGCACACTCAGCTGGAGTGCTAGCACACTCAGCTGGAGTGCTAGCACACTCAGCTGGAGTGCTAGCACACTCAGCTGGAGTGCTAGCACACTCAGCTGGAGTGCTAGCACACTCAGCTGGAGTGCTAGCACACTCAGCTGGAGTGCTAGCACACTCAGCTGGAGTGCTAGCACACTCAGCTGGAGTGCTAGCACACTCAGCTGGAGTGCTAGCACACTCAGCTGGAGTGCTAGCACACTCAGCTGGAGTGCTAGCACACTCAGCTGGAGTGCTAGCACACTCAGCTGGAGTGCTAGCACACTCAGCTGGAGTGTTAGCACACTCAGCTGGAGTGCTAGCACACTCAGCTGGAGTGCTAGCACACTCAGCTGGAGTGCTAGCACACTCAGCTGGAGGCTAGCACACTCAGCTGGAGTGCTAGCACACTCAGCTGGAGTGCTAGCACACTCAGCTGGAGTGTTAGCACACTCAGCTGGAGTGCTAGCACACTCAGCTGGAGTGTTAGCACACTCAGCTGGAGTGCTAGCACACTCAGCTGGAGAGCTAGCACACTCAGCTGAAGTGCTAGCACACTCAGCTGGAGAGCTAGCACACTCAGCTGGAGTGCTAGCACACTCAGCTGGAGTGCTAGCAGGAAGGAGAGGAAAGATGATGTCACTGCATTTTTAACATAAATATGGCGATTGGGTGTAGTCTGTGCCCTTGACGAAGGTGTGAGTGATAGTCACACAGGTGTGAGTGATAGTCACACAGGTGTGAGTGATAGTCACACAGGTGTGAGTGATAGTCACACAGGTGTGAGTGATAGTCACACAACATACTGCATATGGATGTCACCCACTCAAAAGAATTTGCGTATGAATAAACTGATTCCTTTTCTTTTTACTTAAAAAGATAAAAATCTTGACCCATACTCAAGCATATACATTATATATCTCCAATTAGTGAATCATTCATAGTAAGAAAACCTATTTATATTAAGAATTGTAAATACTATGCATATTTCTAATAAGTTTATACAGGAATGATAAAATTTACTTTTATTATGATATATTAAGCATATCAGTTTAATTTTGAAGAGTAGGTTATCACTTACATCTTAATTAACAAATATTAACATGAATGTCGGTAAATTTTCTGAAGGAAGAATCTTCTGAAGGCCAAAAAAAATAAAGAGCATGAAACCTCCCTAAGCTTTGTCTTACTGGATGACGGTTGTAGCATTTGTCACCCCACTTGCAACCTCAGCACCACCGTCGTGTTCTCCCAGTGTTACTTTGTATCTTAACATTATGGAAGATAAAGCAGTACCTTCAACCTTCTCTCTTGTTTTCACGAGTGGGATTTTACGTTCAGAATCTGATGGCAGTTTGTATTCTTACATCATGATTTTTTTTTTTCATTCAAGTCTCCTTTTAGTAGGCGGGACGTAATCTGATTTGTAATGGCTTGCGAAGGGTGTTGAGAGAGGTGGTGTCGGATCGTCTTGCTTGTGTGCGGTGCGGAGTCTAAGACAGAGGATGCTGCAGGCAGCCGTCAGGATTCCCACCACTACTGCTACCATCCCTGTAATCATACACACAATGTTATACATGTAGAATGTATTTGGATTTAACGCGAGAAAATTTTTTTTTAGAAATAACACGGGTAAGATTAATCTGTATATTTTAAGGTCAGGGACCCCTTACCTGTGTCTTATTTCAGTCCAAGTGATTTTTCACCGTGTTTCCATCAGTGTTTACATTTTAGCACAAATATTTAGATTTATAAGACTGTGGTATGAAATCATTGCTCCTTTGCATAACCTCACAAAAACAAATTCGAAATTCATAAGAGTAAGTAAAAAACACATAAATAAGTCAAATAAGAAAAGTGCAAAGTAATATTATTACTGTTATTATTATTACTATTATTATTCCTGTGCATCTGTAAACTATTGACAAGACTTGGACTCGGTATCACAGCGCATTATGTCATGGCTGCTGGAGTGAAGAGAGAGAGATGTTTCTTTAATCTAAGGTATGGCATGACCTCGCTTTTATTTGTGATCTAATAAACGCAAGTAACCTGATTTCTAGGTGCTATGTAGCGATTACTATTGACCTCGAGTAATGAAGCAAATCTTCCCCTTGAGTCATTATTAAGATAGATATTCCTTGCGAAAATTTCAAAACTTTCCATCATTTGTAACTCTGACCGATACTTACTCTCATTCTTTCTTACTTAATAAGCACATAGTTCTGTAACTTGGGTGAAGTAAGTACACACTGAAGTGAAATAATAAGTAGTCTGATATCAATAAACCATCAATAATTTTTATTTAAATGTAATTCAGAATAATTATAAATGCTTAATTAATTGAGAAATGAATTATAAAAAAAATAGGAATAGTAATTATTATTATAAGTATTTATGTGTTGGCATTAAGTAAGTTTATTTAGGTATCACAAATAAAGTTACATAGATTATCATACATAGTAGCATATGTGTAGAGAACCTGGGATAACCCAAAAAAAGTCAGACAAAGTGACTTATTTCCGTTGAAGTCCCTTTAATACGTTATTATTATACTATAAATGAGATATCTTATTAAGATACTATAAAGGAGATATACTAGAAATAAGGTAAAATGAGTTTTTTATATTTACATGTATGTTAGCTAAAAAAAAAAAACCACTCTCCTCCTTTTCTGTCGATACATTCATCAGGCATCTTTTGGCTCTCTTCTTGAACTGGTTCATGCTATGACTGGTTTTGACATGTGCGGGCAGTCAGATCCATTTGTTTATTGCTGTACAATAAAAGGTGTTTGAAGCCTGGCCACAGACTGTGGGTACTACAAAGTTGTGCTCTCTCCTCTTAGTATGTTTGCTTTGGTTCCCAACCTTGACAAAATTGGCAGCAAGATATTCTGGACACTCTTCGTGAGCAATTTTATAAACTTATTTTAACTTTAGTTGTTTTACTCTGTCTTCAACATTCAGCATATCCAGTTGTTGTAATTCATCCTGGCCTACATGTTCTCTTGGACCCAGGTCCAGGATGAATCTTACCATTTTGTTCTGGGTGATTTGCAGTCTTTCTTTCAGTTTTTTTGTCAAGGCAGAGTACCAAGAAGATCAAGCGTAGTCCATGACATTGTATAAGGGCTAAGCAGCGAGCCTCAGTAGGTAGACACTGCTTATCTGTTGAGGAATTTCAGTCTGGCATTCGCTTTCTTTACTACACTGTTCCCTATCAATTCTCCTGACATGCATGGGTCAAAGGGGATTTCCAGATATTTTACTAAGGAAACTGAAGTGATGGGTTCCTCATTACACCGGACATTAAAATTATTTACTCTTCTCAGTTTATGTTTCGTGCCAAAGAGTATGGCTTCCGTTTTCCCAAAGTGTAACGATAATTTCTTGTCTACTAACCATTTGCTGTAGGACTCCAGTTCCAGTGTTATTACATTAGCTATATCTTGTGGGTCTTTACCTGACACTAACAGAGCACTGTCATCCGCATACAGTAGGAATTTGCATTTGACACTAATGCTATCGGCAGGAGTTCTGATGCTGTTTTGACAATTTGTGTCCTGTTGTTAATGTAAAACTTAAACCAGTCTACGGAACCTATGCCGATAGCTTGAAGTTTCTTACATAGTATATTGTGGTTGACAGTATCGAAGGCCTTTTGTAAGTCTAAGGTTACCATTCCCATGAGGTTCCCTATCGACATTTCTGATCCCATGTAATCCACCAGATTAATTAGGGAGGTGTCGGTTAAAAACTCTTAAAGACTGACTGGTGACTATGGAGAATGTTGTTGTCATTAATATACTTAACTACTTGACAGTACACCACCCTCTCTAGAATTTTGGATATTACATTGAGTATACTAACAGGCCTATAGTTGCTGACATCAGACCTACTATTTTTCTTGAGGATAGGATTAACTCTGGCCTCCTTGAACCCCCTCCGGTACGGTATTAGTGGTGATGGACAAATTTATTATGTTAGCAATGGGGATTGGGAATTCTGAGGCACCATCTTTTAGGAACTTAGACGGGATATTATCTGGGCCAGTGCTCTTAGTTGCTTAGTTATTTTTGCACGAAGTCATAAGATACACTTACTAGTTGACAAATGTTTTGGGTTACCCCTTTATTGGTATAGTATGTTTTAAACTTATCAGAGTCTGTGTTAAAGGTATTTGATGCAGCTGGTAGTTTACTTACCAGTGTAGATGAGAGAGTTGTATAGTAAGAATTAAAACAATTTACCATTTTAGTTGTTTCGTGGCATTGTGAACCAATACTTTCGCTCTTCACTTCTCTGCAACTACAGTCAGGCTCGGGTATAATCAGTTCAAGCAGTGTAACATCCGTTAATGTTTATTAATATTAATATTATTTTAAAAGCGCATCAGTTACCTGAAGAAATGTGTTAAGATATTCTGTTGGTCAGGATGTTTCAATATGTGTTTGCTAGGTACAATGTTGCTTACCTTCATATGTATTTCTTTCATTTTTTGTCACGTTATTGCTCTAGAATTATCGTTTATCGTAATAATTAATATTAATGTTAATGAGATATAATAAATGGGTTTGAGCCATTGCTAATATGTTTTGCAAAGAGTGCTGTTGTATGGAGTGCTTTGCTAGTTCAAAGGATTTATAAGGGAAATGAGAGACCAAGCTTGGGAACAACACCAGCTCTTACACTGTACCACCTTTGGGCATTATTCTAGCCAGACTGTCTTACCCATATATTGATATAAAGAAGTTTTCATATGGAGAAGCCAGCCCCGAAGCCAGTACAGTTAAGCCAGTATATGTAATGTGTTTATATTGGAACCATGTGATTCACACTAGCCTATCTTAGCATAATTACCTTTGCATCTATCCTTCTTTTAGCGTCTTGCTAGATTAATATACATTATCAGTATGCTTAGTAAAACTTATTTCCCTGTTAATTTGTCTTCCAACCTGGAACTTAAGCTAATATTGTCCCCTCTGTTGTCTAGCTTATACATTATCTATCCTATCTTATATTAATACTATTTTCCTTAGTCATTTTGACTTGTGTTTGCTATATTTTGTCGCATTTTTTTCCGCTAATTTGTGTCTGATGACATAATCTAACTTTCTACCTATTTTCCTATATTAATTATATAACCTTTTTTGTTGTTGTCTCTTCTTGTGTTGCCTCGTGTCCTACTCATGTTAACCTCCCCTCAAGGGAGGTTCCTTGACGCTGGTGAGGGGCTCTTGATCTAGGGAATTGGATCTGTGCTCCGGTTCCCTGAATTGAGCCTGAATACCTCCCCCCCCCTTACATGCACTGGCTAATCCTACGGGTTTAACTCTCCTCATGATTATAATAATAACAATAATATTCATGCTAACCTGTATTTTGGTTTCATGTAATTTTATGTAATTTTTATATGTAATATGTCTGAAGTATTTATTTTATTGTATTTGATAATTATGTTTCCAGAGTATTAGTAAGATGTGTTATTTTTTTAATGAATAAGACACATGTGTAACAGTTAGGTATCTTTTTGGTTGAAGCGTTTCGCCTACACAGTAGGCTTCTTCAGTCAAATATAGAGATAGCAGATGTAGTAGCTATACGAAGATGATGTAATCAGTCCATCAACCTTGGATCAAAAGTATCTGTGGTGGTCAGTCCCTCAGCCTAGAGAAGAGCTCAGCTCCATGGTCTGGAACGATATGAAGCTGAAGCATGAGAATGGAATCTTAAATATTGTCGAAGGTGAAGTGGTAAGAGGGCGGGTCCCTCTGGAATCCAACCCTTTTCACTCAATATTAGTAGTTAAGCGATGAAGTATGGAAGATGTCCTCTCTACCATGATACCAGTGTGTTGCAGGCTGAGGGACTGACCACCTCATATACTTTTGCTCCAAGGTTGATGGATTGATTGCATCATCATCTTTATTTCACTACTACACCTGTTATCTCTGTATTTGACTGAAGAAGCCTACTGTGTAGGCGAAACGTTTCAACAATAAAGATACCTAACTGTTGCACATGTGTCTTAAGAACATAAGAAAGAAGAAACACTGCAACAGGCCTCCTGACCCATGCGGAGCAGGTCCATGTCCCCCCCCTCCGGATTAGCCCAATGACCCACCCAGTCTGGTCACCTCCACTCAAGGAAGGAGCACGGCATCAGACCCAGCAGCACAAGCTAGTCAGGTCCAACTCACACCCACCCACACCCACTCATGCATTTATCTAACCTATTTTTAAAACTACACAACGTTTTAGCCTCAATAACTGTACTCGGGAGTTTGTTCCACTCATCCACAACTCTATTACCAAACCAGTGCTCTCCTATATCCTTCCTGACTCTGAATTTTTCCAACTTTAAACCATTGCTGCGAGTCCTGTCTTGGCTGGAAATTTTCAGCATGCTATTTACATCCCCTTTATTTATTCCTGTTTTCCATTTATACACCTTGGATCATATCCCCCCTAATTCTACGCCTTTCGAGAGTGTGCAGATTCAGGGCCTTCAGTCTGTCCTCATAGGGAAGATTTCTGATACATGGGATC